TTCTATTTACCACTTGACTTATATTGTCACAACTCAATTATCAACGAAAACACTGGTTTTCGATTAAACTAAAAACATTAAATCACCCTTTGTTGTTGAAACCTTTTATTTTTCATTTTTTTTTTTTTCTCAAGCACTCACCTTTGATTTCGCTCAACTTTTATTTTTATTTTTATTTTGATTTCTCACAAGCCCTAATAAAACTCCCTCGGTCTCCATTCCCAATTCCGAGCTAGAACATAATTAGGCATTTTTTCTTTTTTTCTCACCACGCACCAAGCACTCACTTTAATTCCGTTCAACTCTTATTTTTATTTTGATTTCTCAAAAGACCTAATGAAAACCCCTTCGATTTCATTCCCAATCTCAAGTAGGATAGTAATTAGGCAATTCTTTTTTTTTTCACCAACGCCACAAAGCATTTTCTTTTTTTTTTCATACAACAAGGCTTTTTCTTTTTTTTTTTTTGTGCAACCAAGCCTTCACTTTGATTTCATTCAACTTTTATTTTATCTTATTTTATGTTGATTTCTCAAAAGCCCTAATAGAATTCCTTCGATTTCATTCCCAATTTCGAACTAGAATATGGTTAGGCATTTTTCCTTTTTTTTTTTTCTCTCACCATTCAACCAAACACATTCAATTTTGATTTCATTTCACTACTCTTATTTTATTTTGTTTTGATTTCAAAGCACCTTATGAAATTTCCTCGATTCCTTTTTCTCAGAATTCGAGCAAAAAAAAGTAACTAAGCAGTTGTCTTTGTCACCATGCAACAAAATATTTTTCTTTTTCAACCAAACCCATTCAATTTTGATTTCATTCAACTATTTTTATATTATTTTTATTTGATTTCAAAAGCCTTAATAGAACTCCCTCGATATCATTTCTTATCTCGAGTAGAATTCGTTTAGGCGCATTTTTTTTTTTTGCTTTTTGCCCACTATGTACCATAACATTCATTGATTTCTTACAATTAAAAAATTTTTGATTTCTATTAATTATACTCAACCTATATCATCAACCCCATTCTATCTTACTTTTATGTCACCAGCAATGCTTGTATATAGCCCCTCAATACCCACAACTAATTTTCCCACAAAATTATTTTTCATTTTACAGAATTCTCTCAGGCTAACCCCTTCTTGAATTCTTCACATGTAGGGGGCGCATCTGTCATAATTTGTATATAATTAAATGCAACCCCGACCCACTATGTATGTACCATGTATGATTTTCAAAGACTTAATAAAGAACAAGGTAACTGGAGGAAAGAAAGTAACAAAAGATATAGGAAGTAAGACTAAAGCGGGCACGACTATTTTGGCACCCCTGTGTCAACATTGCAGGGGCAGAGACCGGTCGTCTCTAGTGACCGCAGAAGTTATATTAGACAAGAAGCACTCGACACTTCCTGGAAAAACAGGATGTATTCGGTGACCAGAAGTTATAAATATTAAGCTAACGCCCAACATTTCCGGCAAAGATAGGACGTATTTGATAACACGGAAGTAAATAAAGTCAAAATGGCACTCGACACTTCCTATCAAAGCAGATCATATCTTTCACCAAAGGAAACCGCCGGCCTATCAGAAGATAGCACCTTAAGTAGGTCAACCAATAGGGAAAGATCATGTGAGATCTCTCAACCAATCAGAGAGAAACTGACTCGTGGTGTTAAATCGAAAGACAAGAATAGTGGGTTACGCTTTGGCTCCCAAGGAGGTGACATCGGCTCTAGACCTCTCCCCTTCTGCTCATCCCACAGCTAAGTACAATCACCGCCATGTGATCAGCTAATTAATAAGTCAAATCGCTCCGCCTTCTCAAGCTTTCTTTCCTCCAACCCGTTGCCTTTATTTTCAAACTCAATCACGTGTCCTGATTATTCCTAACTGTATGCTGCAACTTCCACTCAAACGACTGCGTTTCAATCAATCCTCACCATTCAAATCAAACAACAAGAAACCCCGCAACGATATTGTCACATATATATATATATATATATGTAAATATGGTAAATAATTATTCTCATCTCGCGTTCAATTTAGCGTGGTGAAATGATTGGTTTGGTCAAAGTAGTGCTTGCCTGAATATATGTAGCCTACCTTAAAACTCATCACAGCTACCCATGAACCTAATGTTCAGTACAATTGAGTTTGCTATAGCGATTATATAAGTGGATTATACAAGCATCATTATATTATTATGTGATGCACTAGCGCGCCATTAAACTGGCGAAACCGCTGAGAGGGTTCACCACTGATGAGCCAGGCCCTCTCATTAATTTTTCCATAGCAGTAAGGGCAGTAGAAATTGTTTAATATCAAAAAGAATCTTACGCCTTTAAAATAGTTTTGAATTTTGATATTATTATGTATTCATTTATGTGTTCTAATAAAAGACACAAATTGATATTTGCGGAAGAGTGATTGCTCGAAGCATATTATATATTTATAACTGTATGTAATTATGCTTTCCTCAAAGTTTATGTCCATAGTTAATCTGAAATACCCATTCCAAGAGTCTAGAATGAGTATCACTATAAAAGGAAAATCGAAAAAAAAAAAAAGCAATATAACAGCGGTATGGTAGATTAAACTGGCGAAACCGCTGGGAGGGTTCACCACTGATGAGCCAGGCCCTCCCATTAATTTTTTTCCATTGCAGTGTGGACAGTAGAAATTGTTTATTTTCAAAAATAATCATACGCGTCTATAATAGTTTCGAATTTTGATAAGCATTATAAACATAATTTTTATTGAGCGCTGGTTTCGCTTGTATTCACCGCTGAAAGTAAAAAAAAAAAGTTGATCTAGACTTTCACCCACAATAACTTTGTAAATATCACATCTACACTTCTAGTCGGTTATTGCGCAGGTTATTGCGACAGACACATTTCAATTTTAGATATCAAGCTCTCTATATTGTGTGTTTTTGTAATATTTATAATTTCATTGAAAAAATCGACCTCGGTTATAAATGACTGTGAAGGCTTTTGTTCTGGTTATTGTATGTTTCCACATAGGGTAATTTAGAGCATAGTTTCTATCTGTAATTGAAATTTCAAAAGAGCGTTCAAATGACTTGTTTGACGAGACGTAAGCACAAAAAGTAGAAAGATGATTATACAAATATATTTTTTAATAGTCTATTGATATGGAGTTCTCACTAAATTGCCTCACTCAACAACAATGAGGCTTCATGGTCAAATATTTATTTATTTATTTATATGTCATTTAATATACAGAAAAATTGAAAAATTAAAATATAATGAAAATTCGAAATTATTATAGACGCGTATGATTCTTTTGAAAATTAAATAATTTCTACTGCCCTTACTGTAATGGAAATTGTTTAATTTTCAAAAGAATCATACGCGTCTATAATAGTTTCGAATTTTCATAACAGATGGCGCGCTAATGCATCATAATAAAAATATAAATTGAAAATAAAAATGGGATATCTTAACCAGAAGCCATGTGCTTTTCAGAGCACCATCTAGTGGAACAGAAACAAACTAAACATTGATTTATCCTGCTCCCTGATATTTGGCCAACCCAATTTCTAGAAAATCCATCCACGAATATATAACAATATTTTCAGCCAGAACTTGACATTACATTTAGAGAACAATATATTTATATCCCAGGCTTTCCTGGAGAGCAGAACGCCAACTACCTGGGATATACATTACGTTTAAAAGATAATATGCATTATATACACTACTAGCCGAATGACCCGGGCAACGCCCGTGTTTTACCCGATTGAATGTTTTTATTCAAATATTATTTGTTACAATTATAAATTGGCGCCTTAAATAAATGCATATATTAGTTAATAACTATAGCCTATGTGCTTTATCTGTCTATGTACTGTTGGCTTCCGTAGGCGTCTCTTACTGGGAAAAAGAAAGAGAGGATTCCATTTAGTTATTAACTAATATATGCATTTATTTAAGGAGCGACCCGCTCCAACAGAATAGTTACAAAAACATCAAAGCGAGTGGGGGGGGGGGGGGGGGGGGGGGGGGGGGGGGGGGGGGGGCAAAGGTGGCGTGATCGTAGCCAACCAATAGGAGAGCGCCATTCAAAAACAAAACAAACAAAAAAAAAAAACGGTGACAGAGATGAAAAAGAATTGATGACGCTCGTAACTGTATATAGAATGTACAATGAATATGGCGCCTCTGCCAGCGCTGCAGAGTTTGGTGTAGAATCGCTAGTGGGTCTCCAGCGACATCACGCATTTCGCGATCTACGAAGAATACGTAGATCGCGTACTTCGCTGCTAGTTTCAAAGGAGCTCGTTTTTACAGGATTGTGGCAGACCTACCTCTCCTCTGTGAGAGATCGACCAGGGGTAGGAGATCCTGCTTGTTGCAGCACCCAGGTCTCTTCATGGTGAGCATGAGGAAGAGGGAGGCTCCAGCCAGCAGCAGTCCCAGCAGAAGATCTGATCGTACAAACATCATACCAAGTGTATTATAACAGAATATAAACAGATTATTACACTAGAACTTGGATAATTCTATCGTCTTTAATTTGAAAACGTCTTCAATTCAAATATTTATCTTGATCCCTAGAATTTCTTATAAATAGATTTTCCGTTTTTAATTCGAATTTTTAAATAATTCAACAACAATGAGGCTTCTTGGTCAAATATTTATTTATTTATTTATATGTCATTTAATATACAGAAAAATTGAAAAATTAAAATATAATGAAAATTCGAAACTATTATAGATGCGTATGATTCTTTTGAAAATGAAATAATTTCTTCTGTCCTTACTGCAATGGCAATTGTTTAATTTTCAAAAGAATCATACGCGTCTACGCGTTATTTGGGCTTCCAATTATCCAATTTCGACTGTGATAATTATTTGAAGTAAACGAAAAAATTGCGCTACAAATTTTAAAATAAAACTACAACCTTTCGCAATAAGTTTCTTTTTTTTTTTTTTTTATATTAATATATTTTACTACACAACAAACTTCCCTCATGGTTTATTTGGTTAAGGCGCCTGTTTAGTAAACAGGAGATCGTGGGTTCGAATCTCGCCGTTGACTTTTTGCTGCTCTTATACAATGTCTATAACTCTACTCGCCATGTGTAAATATCGAGGACAAGGTGACTTGCGAGCTGGGATCGAATTTAACATCTGAAAATTGAGACGAAATAAATAAACACTCCTCATAGTCTCTTCGGAATTTTATAATTTTTAAATTGTTTTTCACTAAATTAAGTTGCCATCTATTGTTTACTTCGACGTGATATTTTGGTGGAGAGGATGGGTAGTTAAGAAAGACACAGAACGCTGAGAAGACCTTGATGCCATAGGTGCCATTTTACGCGACTATCTCCAGGATGCCACAGCCCTGTCAAAGTCAAGACTTTCCTCCAAGAAGATGACGTTCTTATAGAACCTACGACGACAATACCTATTTTTTTAAATTCACGAATATAGGATTTTCATTTTATAAATTCTATATTACTTTGAAAAATATTTAATGTATAATTATTTTCAAGTAATTGGAAATAAAAACTACTTGATAAGTAAAATAACCATCTTTCCTTTTTCACGACTGCACCTCCAATTTTTATCATTCCAACATCAAAAAATTATAATCATAACATATATACAAGTGTATAATACTATTTATAGTCTTCAAAAAAAAAAACACGTTCTGACGTTTGAGGCCAAAAACTTAATATGTAGACTGTGTGACAAGGAAATTACTGAAGAACTTCCCCATTACCTGCTTAATTGTACAGCCCTTGATGCAGAGAGGAAGGCCCTATATCAACAAATTAAATGTACCAACACTTCACCCTACGTATTGCTTTCAAAAATATCAGCAAACAAATCTAAGGCAATAGCTTACTAAAAATTTTTCAGATCATCATTATGTAAGGACCAGTCAACAAGTAAATGACTTTGAGACGAAGAGTAAAGCCAGTTCATTTTCCATGTAAATTAGCCCTTCTTGCTTCTAAAAGGCAAATATCATAGTTTTGGCCTTTTAATAGGAAAGCCTTGGTTTTTTTCTTCATTGGCGATGTTTTACGGGTACATTGCATTTATTGGCGTTTTAAAGAAGAATCATAATGAACAATTCAAGTCTGATCACATTTTTAAAACATCTGAAAAGGTTTCTCTAGAAAAAAACTCCATGAGATCTAAACAAAACTCTTTCCAAATTTGCATCATTTCTCGTGTTAGAAGTTTTGACACTCACTTCGAGCATTATTTTCGATATTCGAGAACATTAATAATTTTAAGAGAACTTCTTTTATACAGGGAAAGTTTCCCATTATTTTATAAGCTGTCATTGTACGGTAATTCTTGATTAATTCCTCCGTTAGAGCCTAATTTTGGTCCGTTTCTACAGAGGTTGGTCTACCTGGCCTTTCTTTATCATTAAAATTGTAAAATGCATGACAAGCTATCCGAGAGGCCAAGATTCCAGAGTAAAGATGGGTAGACTCCAGCTGCTCCAGCTACCATGTGTGCTACCATGAGGCACCAAAAACGGCATTCCAGTGTGGGAGATAATAGAGTCTGGTCACATCTGCGGCAAGTAGAAAACGTAAGGAGTTGTTTCAGTGGCGTGTGGATGATCCTGCAAGCCGGTGTCAGGAGAGCTTGACATAGGAGTGGCCTACAAGACTGTGTAGTCCGGGCTGGACGTGTTGATGTGGAGCGGAACGTTTCACAAGAGTGACATCCACGACGCCAAGGATTCTTCTGACGGGGAATGTGAGGGCAAGTCCCACATATTGTATTCCTCTTCTGTTCAGTGCGACGTACATAATAAAGTGTAACTTTTGCTGCATCCTTACGAACTCACGGGTGTATCTTTGTGCCATCCTGATGATACAATTTATTCAAAATATTCTCTGATATTTAATATTTATTTAAAACAGATTATTAGATCATCATCATTCCTTTTTATAGTTTCATTACTTTTGTAATATTTTATTGTACATATATCTTGATTGGTTATTGGAGCGAGAGAGGACCTGGACCAAGACTGCGGATCACGACCTACGAGGAAGACAACGATTAAATAATCAAAATAACTTTAAAAGGTAATTCATTTTTATTTACTTTTCTTTATTTGCTTTGAGTATGGAAACCCGCTCGATGAACGTGTAAAACACCAAGAAAGAGGAAACCAAGGTCGACGACCCTACAAAGCTATAACTTGGTGCAACAATTGGTAGAGATGCTGGTTCCGACCCAATTGCTTTGAACCCCAATACAGAAATTCCGAAGTGTGACGGGACAGAAGACCCTCGCCCATGGATAGAATCCCTCGAAGAGATTGGTTTCCTCTACCATTGGGCAGACTACATAATTGCCCGATATGCCGCCATGAACATGACAGGAAGCGCCAAAACCTGGTTGAATTTGCACAAAGCTAGTTTCACGAGTTGGGAAAACATTAAAATCCGCCTCATTCAGGATTTTTCTTTGGATGCGAATAAAGAAGAATTAAGAATAAAGATTAACAGAATGCAACACTGGAATGAACCAGCAATCAGGTTCGAGGAAGACATCCTAGTGTTGTGCAACAAGGTAGACCCCGCAATGGAAGAAGAAACAAAAATCGAACATGTTATTGGAGGACTGAAAAAATAATACTCATTCGAGTTCTACCTAAACCCTCCTAAAACGACCGAAAACTTCTTGTCATGTGCAAGAAAATGGATTCTTTTGAGAAGAAGTTTCGGGAACGTGTGGAGAAATCTAGAAGTCTATATAACGGTCCACGCTATTCTAGACCCCAACAACAATCGAGGAACGTGCCGCCGACTGCCACACGAAACTACCAGACCACTTCCAGGCCCCTGTTTCCAAATATTACAAGAACGAATCCCTCCTACTCCCCGGTAGTATCGAAACAACTTGCCCCAACCCTCTACCCCTAGACGTCCTTATAATTCAAACTTTGTACCGGAACCAAACCTTCAGAGAAACACTTACAATAAAAGCCAAGTAGTGAGCAAAAATAAGACAGAAGATGGTAGACCAATCTGCTTTAAGTGTAACAAGCCAGGGCACGTGACCCGTTATTGTAGGGTCAAGTTTATAAGAATCCTAAAAGAGGATCCAACAGCTACCCAAGAGTAGGTCGAAGAGAAATTCCAAATGAATTAAATATCAGATAAATCAGGACCTCGGCTTTATGCTTATGTATGTCATAGCACACAGACAAATATTCCTACCCGGAATAGATATTCCGTGTTGGAGGATTTAAACTAAGCGTGGCGCCTGAACCTGTCAATCATAGCAAGTCGACCATAAATGGAATCAAGAAGTTGGACCCTAAATACAAATTAAAAATTCATGTGGACAAGTTAGGGAATTTTGAAGCTTTGGTTGATACAGTCGCTGACCTCTCAGTGGTCGACCACAGAACGGCCCTCGATACAGGCCATGATATAAGTAAACTCGCAAAAACTTGTGCAGGACCGATGGAAAAAAATAGACATAGTAGGAAGTATATTTTTAAATATAAAAATTGACGACAAAGCATTATCACACAAATTTGTGATATTGAAAACGCATTTACGGACATTAATTCTTGGAAGAGATTTCCTTAAGAAAATGAACGCGAACATAGATTGTAAGCAAGAAACTATAAAATACGATTTGATGAATAATCATGACGAAAGCAATTTTGAGATGTTGAAAATAAAGAGTTCCAAGGATTCCATTGTACCGGAATGTTCCATCAAATTGATCAAGGCATTGGTAGAAACAGAGGATGGAGAATATATTATCGAGGAGAGCAGCAAAATGTTTCAAACAAACGGACTTCGTCTAGAAAGAAGCTTGATCAATGTTACAAATAGGGAAGCACATATCTGGATAACTAATCCGTATCCTAGACCGTTAAAAATAATGAAAAACCAAACATTGGCTTTTGGAAGTAGTCCAGCGAAAATAAATGTGAATCGAGAAAGGGAGGTAGAAGAGAACGAGGAACCTAGATTCAAAATAAACGAAAATCCTTCTTAAAAGGAACAGAAGGAGTTAAAACAAGTTTTAGAAAGGTATGGAGATCTGTTTTCGTCGAGATTAAGGATAACCAATTTGGCAAAACATCGGATTGACACAAAAGATGCGAAGCCAATTAAACACAAGCCCTACAAGGAAAGTGCTAAAGAACGAGATATTATAAAAGAGCAAATTGATGAGATGCTTATAGAAGGCATAATTAGGCCATCTTCTAGTCCCTGGTGTTTCCCAGTAATATTGGTCAAGAAGCGAGATAGTAAATACAGATTTTGTGTGGACTACAGAAAACTGAATAATGTGACAGTAAAAGATGTCTATCCGATCCCTAGAATAGACGAAGTTATGGATACTCTCCAAGGATCTGCATACTTCTCAGCAATAGACCTCAGATCTGGATATTGGCAAGTTGAAGTCGAAGAAAGAGACAAAGAGAAAACAGCTTTCACTACAGCGCATGGATTATATTAATTCAACGTGATGCCTTTTGGACTTTGCAACGCGCCTGATACCTTTGAGAAAAATATGGAAAATATGCTTGGAAATCTGAGATGGCAATTTGTCTGTGTTATCTGGATGATGTTATCATATATAGCCCGGATTTCCCAACGCATCTCAAAAGACTCGAAGCTGTTTTTAGATGTTTTCGTGAATCTAATTTAAGGTTAAACGACAAAAAATGCCGATTTGCTTTTGAAGAATTGGAGATTTTCGGCTATATAACGAGAAAATATGGTATAAAGCCCGTGGAACATAACATCAAAGCTGTCAGAAATTTTCCTCGGCCCACAAAGGTCAAGGAACTACAATCCTTTTTGGGAATGTGCTCATATTTTATAGAAAAATTATCAAAAATTTCTCAAAAATTGCTGGCCCTTTGACCAACCTTATAAAAAAGTGTATCATTTACCTGGACAGAAAGGCAAGAGGAAGCGTTTCAAACCTTGAAAACAGCACTATTAAGTCCACCAAATTTATGTCACTTCAATCCAAATGCGCCTACTTATATTCATACTGATGCGTCCAACATCGGCATAGGTGC